AAGCAGATGAATCCCACATGAAGCAGACGCCAACGAGACGGAGACCAGTACGGAAGAAGATATGTCCCGCACACTTAAGAGACTTTGTTGAATCTTAATTTTGTGTTTGTAAATTCTGTACATTTATTTAAGTTATTGTTAATTGTTTATTGGTTTAATGTAAGTGGCTATTATTCGGGACGAACAATACTAAAAAAGGGGCAGTGTTACGACAGCGGGGGTCACGTGACGCTAGTAACACGTCATATTCTCGAATGTTCACGTCCCTTCCTGAAGCGTCAAGAGGTTACTAGATATGCGGTATTCTTGTATATACATAAGCCGCCAAGAGGTGACGGCAACAATGTGTAATTGAACTGCAGACAGAGGTAGATAGGGACAATTGAGTCAAGCATGTGAGATGTTCGTTGTGAATTATAGCGTTTGTTATAGCATGACTGTGGAAATTAAGTGTATTGCAAAGTTGTATTCAGAAAGAATATACCAGTTTTATTTAAGAAAGGACTTGTCTCGCTAAATTTTTTTCGGAAAGAATTTTTACGGAAAATTAACTAACAACCAGAGACGTAACAATACATAGAGACAAAAAAAAAAAACTGTTGAGCTATGTAGATTTTCTAATTGCAAACTATATGTAAATTCAAAATAGCCATCACATTTTATTGATTTATCACCCAAACTTTTTTTTTAGTTTTAGGGTACCAATGAAGTCATTTAAGCATTAAATTCAATTTGGGCATGCAATTCGTGTGGGATGACATAGTGGCCCCCACTAGAAGGAAACTACATTTTGCATCTGGCCTTTAACTTCTCTCCACCACATTCTCCCTGGTTTTGACACACATGTTTCATGTAATATCCATGGTACATAATAAGAAGATAGATAACTGTAGAATATGGTTTTCATTTTCTATTCTTATTAAACTTTTATGTCTGTTTTCACTTATTATTGTTTTCACAGTATGTTATTTCTGTAATTATACTATTAAATTTTTTTATTCATTTTTAAAAAATATTTACAGGGTGAATACAGAATTTGCCTATTTGAAATTAACAGATATAAAAGTTGTAGCCACTTTAGGGATTGGAGGATTTGGAAGAGTTGAACTTGTAAGTGTCTTTTAATCTAACCACTGAAAAACAAAAACATAATAATTCATTTAGTCAACAAAAAGGGAAAAAATAAAATTTGGATTTTTTTTTTAAAGGAAAAAGTTCTAATAATAGTTTATTTTCTTGCCAGTAACTTCTTCAACTGAAAAAAATTACCACATTCTATCTAGCTACTGTTGTTTTTATTAATAATAAAACACTAATCTTTAAAAGTTCCATAATTTCTGCACAGCCCTTTTTAAGAATTCCTTCATATTTAGTGTTTTTATTATTTTATTCTCCTAACTTATTATTGTAAACTTTATAATGTTGATTTAACTTGAAGTGAACAGAACCAAATATTTAGCGAATATCTCTATTTTTATGAAAATTACAGTAAGTGTTTTGAAAACTTTAAGCTACATAGAAAATAAAAATAATTTATTAAAATCTTTTAAAAATTAAGTGTTTTTTTTTAACCTAAAGATAAACATGTTTTGTACAACTCTAGTCAGGAATATGTTTACTTTAGATTAAGGTTTAAATTTAATATGTAATGTTTTAGGTGCACATAAATGAAGATGCTTCAAAAACATATGCTCTTAAAGTGATGAAAAAATCTCAGATTGTGGAAACCCGTCAACAGCAGCATATCTTATCAGAGAGGGTCATCATGGAAGAGGCAAATTGTGATTTCATTGTCAAGTAAAGAAGAACTCTAATTACGTCTTTATTGGATAAGATGTTTATTAACATAGTAAACTGTAATATATTGTTTTGTAAAATTGTTCTTTAAAAGATTTATTAACGATTAAATATGTAAAATGGGGTTTACATTACCTCATCAACAAGAGACCATTGAGCTTAGTTCTATTTGTTCTATTCAATCAAAAAAATCTTGATCTAACTTAAAAGGTATTAATTATAATCTGATTAATTTTATCTAGTTTAAAAATTTTTTGATTAATATTACTCAGAGCTAGCAGATTTGTATGATTGTACTTCTTCAAAAAAAAGTATAATTTTATCAGCCTATAATTTCTACTTAATTTGACTTCAACTAAGCCCTCAAAACTAAATATTCTTTAACTTAAGTAGACTAATTATCAGATAAAAATTATTATGATGGTCTAGTTTTCTGAAAGCTGTGAATCTTAATGCCATTAAGTTGAAAAGATTAGCCTAATTTTCCATATTCTTAATGTCTTGAAGCTGATAATTGTAAGGTTTGGTCTATTTTTCTGATTTTTGAGATAAGCTAGGTAATTATATTTGGTATTAGATCAGAACTATATTAAGAAGTTCTGATTTTTCAATGCTATTGTGAGGTTCCATTAAGCTTGTTAAGATATGTTACTTCTTTAATTTTGTACAATGTTTTGTTTCAAGAAAAAGCAATTGTTATTTGAATAAATCCTAAAAAAATCAAAGTAATATGAATAAATATACAATAAAGGACTACTACTGGATTTTGTTTTTCAGGTCAATGTTTGATTTCAATCTTACAAAAAAATTTTTTTAGGCTATACCACACCTTTAAAGACTCTAAATACTTATACATGTTAATGGAGGTGTGTTTAGGAGGAGAGTTATGGACAATTCTCAGGGATCGGTAAGGTCAACCTTTTTTTTTAATAATCTATGTCTAAATCTTTTTAGTGAAACTTTTTAAATGCAGCTTAAAATTATCTAAAAGATTTGTAATAACTTAATAAGTATATCACTAGGTACATATATATTTATATGGTTTTTATAATTTAAAACAAAGGAATAGTTAATATATGGTCAACTATAATATATATTTTTTTAAAAACTTCTTCAATTAGACAAATATATATTAGATTAACTAAACATGTTTAAATATAAGATTAACTGAGTTGCTGTGTATAAGGAATCAACATGTTTATCATACCTGCTTGGCAGTTTGATTTTTTTTTGTTTATTAATATTATTACACTTCTAATTTTTAGTGTGTCTGCTACCTTTTCCTTAATTTTTTTTAATTGTATTTATTTCTATATCTATATTAATGAAAAATATAAGTTCTTTTATATTATTTATGTAAAAAAAACGTTGATGCAACTGCCAGATTTTCATTGTTATATCATATTGTTGTGTCAGCGAGATCACGTGACTAGTGTCACGCCACGTTTCTAGAACTATCCCGTTCCTTCGGGAGTGCTCTA